CAAATGGACCAGACACTGGCTTGACTTCAGAATGGGATGCTCCCAGCTCAACATCTTCTGGACTGGCAGGACCTCCATCTCCTGCCCTGGGAGACCAACTTGGCACAAACCTGGGGCTGCCAGGAGAAGAGGGGCTTGAAGCTGGCACTACAGGACAGGTGCTGGGAGGAGCAGGCAGTGAGACTGGGTTTGAGTCTTCCCTGGGTTCTCCTGCAGGCAGAGGGACAGCAGCTGGGATGGATCAACTGCCTGGTGCAGGTTCCTTATCTGGTCCTGCCTCTCTTGGTGGTGCAGTCACAGCACCCTCCACTTCAAGGGGTGATGAAGCAGGACCCATCCCAGCCACATTCCCTGGCTCTGATGGTCTCTCTCTGTCCCCTCCAGACAGTGAAACTTCCCCAGAGCTCACTCCAGTGCAGGACACTGAGAGCACAGGGGATGTGGCACAGGCAGGAAACCCAGAGAGTGAAAGTCCTCGTATGGAAACAAGTCTTTCAGGCCTCAACACCCAGCAGGACCCTGCTAACGCTGGAGAGCTGCCAGCTGGAGGAACAGGGGCTTTGGCAAACGATGAACTGTCCCCCCCTTCAGCTCTTGGGCATGGAACAGAAGCAGGAGCAGCCTCAGCACTGGGACCAGTGTCCCTGCCTGGTTCTGCACCTCCTGGCAATGCTGGGCTGGAGTCTGATCTCACAGGGGTTGAAGGACATGGGGACATGCCTGGTGAATCCCTCAGTGTTCTTGGGGCTGCTTACCCACCCTCAGGGGCTGTAGCCAGCCCTATGTCTGTGGCAAAACCACCAGAGAGCCCCAGCCTTGGTGCTGCCCAGGGAGCACCTGTGCCTTCATCACTAGAAGGGTCACAGCCATGGGGAACAGCAACTGGTGCTGCCCAAGAAGCAGGTCTCCCAGGAACAAATGGACCAGACACTGGCTTGACTTCAGAATGGGATGCTCCCAGCTCAACATCTTCTGGACTGGCAGGACCTCCATCTCCTGCCCTGGGAGACCAACTTGGCACAAACCTGGGGCTGCCAGGAGAAGAGGGGCTTGAAGCTGGCACTACAGGACAGGTGCTGGGAGGAGCAGGCAGTGAGACTGGGTTTGAGTCTTCCCTGGGTTCTCCTGCAGGCAGCAGGACAGCAGCTGGGATGGATCAACTGCCTGGTGCAGGTTCCTTATCTGGTCCTGCATCTCTTGGTGGTGCAGTCGCAGCACCCTCTGGTTTGGATCCAGCCAGCCCAAGTGCCCTCGGAGGAGCGGGCAGTGTTCCTGGAGCTCCACAGCCTTCCTCGGATGCTGGGCCTGGTATCCCTCCTGCTACAGGAGAAGAGGCGGGTGAAGTGGCTGATAATGGAGTGTCCCTGGGACGGTCCCAGGTTGCGGCTGAAGGAGAACCAGCTGGTTCAGGAGCAGCTGATGGAGAAATGAGAGCTGTGCTGCAGTCTGCATCTTCTTCCACATCTATGGAGGGATCTTCATCTTCTGCATCTTCTTCCACGTCTATGGAGGTATCTTCATCTCCTGGGACAGCTGGTGAGGCTGATAACGGAGCAAGCCTTCCTGGAGCTGGTGGTGGCTTGAGCACAGGCTTGGAGGCTGCTGGCCCCAGGGAACCCCCCATGTCTGACTCTGGCATCCAGAGTGGTGCAGACCTTGGACTTCCTGATGCAAAACTGAGCCAAGTCAATGTGGAGGAGCTGCCTGAAGGAGCCTCGGTGAATGGAGGATCTTCCCCTGATGCCAGCTTGGGAGAAGGCACAGGAGCCATCACACAGATCGTGTCAGGATCGCTGACCTTGTCTGGCCCTGCCTCCTCCCAGGGCACACAGCCCCTGGTCCCGGTGGCTCCAGATGGCAGTGGTGTCTCTGATGACACAGCCACCTCACTGGCTGCTCCTCTGTTCCCTGGGCACGGGCTGAGCTCAGGGCTGGCACCCAGTGGGGACACCCACTCCTCCCCTGGCACCCAGAGTGTGAGAAGACCCCTGGTGACAGGGGCAAGGGCTGGGCTGGCAGGAGATGCTGGAGGAGCTCAGACGTGGTCTCTGGAAGATGAGGTGGCCTCAGGGATGCCAGCACCTTCAGAAGAAGTGTCCCCACGTGCCCCTGCATCCCCTTCTGCACCACAGAGAGAAAACACTGCCGAGGAACCACCAGCCACCCCCGGGCTTCCTACTCAGCTTTCGGGACGTGAGTCGATAGCAGGGTCCTCTGTAGGGGGAAGGGGAGAGCTGGGGGCTGCTGCTCCGGGGGGGTCTGTCCTGCTCCTGCCTGCCTGCCAGCCGGGAAGTGCCAGAGCCCCCTCCAGGGATGCTGACAGCCCCCTGCCTGGTCCGGGAAGGGCCAGAGCCCCCTCCAGGGATGCTGACAGCCCCCTGCCTGGGGAAACCACCCCTGTGCTCCCCAGAGCAATGGCAGGGCGAGGGGACATGGCTCAGCTCCTTCCCACTGCCAATGCAGCTGGGGCAGGTGTGGAGACTCCCACTCGCTCCCCACTGGGGGTTGGCCCAGGGCTCCGTGTCCTTCCTCCCACCAGGATGGCTCCTGGCAGCCCTGGATCAACAATCCCAGGGCCAGGACCTGCTGGTGGTTCATCACCTGCTGCCCTGCAGCCATTCTTGGGTGGTGAGCTGACCACTGGCCTGGCCAATAGAGCCCCTGCTGCTGGTGGGTCGAGCCTCACCACAGCTGTCCCAGACCAGAAGGGAGCCTGGGAGGGGTCCCCAACCACCATGCACCCAGCTATGTCCTTCAGCCCAGCCACCACCAGCCCAGCCCCACCAGCCCCCCTCCCCAGGGGCAGGGAGGTGCTCCCCAGACGAGGAGCAGCCACTGTCACCTCCCGCGCATCGTCCCCCGTGTTTCCAGCTCCGCCAGCGGCCGCCCCGACCCTGCTGCCCAGCCCCACAGGTACGTGATGCTCATGGGGCAGACTGGGCTGGAGGAGCAGGTCTGGCCTCCTGATGGACAACCCTGGGGGACACGCGGTTCCCAGAGACCGGAGGGGCTATTTGGGGCCAGGTCCCCTGGGAAAGATGCACCACAAGGAGCTCCTGCTCAAGAGTCTGCATTTTTGGCAGGCTGAGCCTGCCTTCAGCTGGTCCTGTCAGATGGAAAATCCATCCCTTCCAAATGCCTTGCTCTATTTAACAGATGTAGATATGGAGCTGGAGGCTGTAAACACCTCTAGAAAGAGCTGTGGGTGTTTAATTCCCTGTCATCCACCTACCCCAGTCCCACACAGTGTTTTTCCCCTCCTAATGGCAGTCCTTCAGCATGGTGCCCCAACAAGGATGAAGCACGAGGGGACAGTGACTACCCATGAAGGCCATCATGGCACATTTGGGGCAACTGTGTGCATTAAAGGCAGAGAAAGGGGTGGGAGCAAGCTCCTGCAAGAGAAGGTGACATGCAGGGTGTCCCAGGTGGTTATTGGCAGTGTCTCCCCCATCAACCCCAGGTTGTGTCCCTTTGGAAGCAAACTAATTTCAGACCTTTGAGACTTTGGTACAGACCAGGAGCTTTGCTTTAACTGTGATTTGGTTTTGGTTTGTTTGTTTTTCTTTCTTGTTCAGTTCCAGCTGTGCCCCTCTACAGTTACGGAGCAAGGGAAAATGATCAGGAATATGTGGAAAGGAGGGTGGATTTCAGTTCTCCACTTTTCAAGCCTGAGACCGGATTCCCCTTTGGGAAAACCCTGCGTGACTCTCTCTACGTGAGTCTACCTTGGCTTGACTTGCTGTTGGGCGAGTGGTTGTCCTCTAAAACTCTAGGGGAGGGACCAAGGGCCAGGTGCCTGGGATGGGACTCTTGTGGGCATGAATCCATTGGGATGCTGTTGGGATCTGTTTGCAGCAGGAGGTGGCTTTGTGACCACTTCAGCAGTGGTGGGTGGTGACCTTCCTTGGGTGCTGCTGAAATTGGGCTTGGAGATGAGAGGGCTGCCACCCCATGAAGGGGGGTCCTGCCAGCCCTGACATTGTCTGAGGGAGGGATTCTTCTGTTCAGTTTACAGACAATGGACAAATCATTTTCCCATCCTCGGACAACACCATCTTCACGTACCCCAACCCTCCTTCCCGTGGCTTCAATGGCCACGAGGAGGTTCCCATGATTGCTGTGTTTTGGGACAACGCTGACTTCTCCAGAGGTGTCGGCACCACTTATTACCAGGTGGGTGAAGCCACCCAAGTGCATGGTTGCATGGAACGACTTTTAGTGATAAACTCCTTTGTGGGTGCCCCTGGAGATGTAGACCTGATTGAGCCTGTGGGAGGCATTTCCCTTTTTTGGGCCAAATCTCATCCAGACTCCTAGTTGCAGTGCTCCCTGCATGGCCCCAGTCTAGAATTGTCTTTGCCTTACTGAGAGCTAAAGCAGATGTGCCTGTCCCCAACCTGCAGGAGTTCCTCACCCTCAACACGGAGAAGCCTCCATTCATCCGTGACGTGGAAGCAAAGATTCGGCGGTACCTGAGGTCCTCCTACTCTGCAGCCTGGACCCTGAAGATCACCTGGGAGAAGGCACCTGCCTATGGAGCGCGGGCTGACACCCAGAGGGTAAGGGGCTGGTGGAGCTCAAGGGCTTGTTGAGCTGTCATAAAAACAACTCAAGAGCTGTGATCAATCACCTTCTCTGTGCCTGAAAAGAAGAACCAGTTTTATGAAAAAAGATCAGGCTTAAAGATTTCTGCTGAAAAGAACTGGGCTGTGCCCAGGTTTTAGTGGCTTTCAGATTTTTGGGGGGGCATTTTCAGTTGAACTCTCCCTACTCCGAATCTTTTCTTTGATGTCATGTGAGCTTGTTGTGCACTAGAAACAGTTCTTCAGTAGCACAAAGCTGGGTGATTTTGAAGCTTCTCATGGAGCAGCATCAAAGTAAACAGATCACACCTTCATCACAAAATGTGAACCAGCTGAAGCCTGGCACATCAGGAACTCAGCCCTGCCATTCCCCAGCAAACACTGACCCACATCCCCAATATTAATCCTAGTAACTTTGCTCATTTCTTACCTGTCTGCAATGCTTCTCCCTAGACAAGCACGTACCAGGCTGTCCTGACCACCGACGGCTTCAGGTCCTATGTCCTGATGCTGTACCAGGAGGGAGGCATGCGATGGGATTACACCAGGCTTGCTGCCACCAATGTGCTCATTGGCTACACCAGGTACAGCAGGCTTGAGACCCTGCCCCTGCCTCCAAGCACCAGGCTGTGTCCCATCTGGGGCTCCAACCGATCTAATCCCTTGCCCCACATCCCATGAAGTGCCTTGCAGGGATGAGTGTAGCCCAGCTGGGGTCTGCAGGTCCATAGAGCCTGAAATATGGGCTTCCTGCAACCAACTTTGCCCCACTAGTGGCTGGATCATGCTGCAGCACGCTGTTCTGCTGAGCTGGGCTTGTAAGATCCATGCATCCCTCTGGGGTCCCCAGCCTGCAGCATCCCGGTGGTTTGGGTGGAAGGAGTAGGGAATAGGGGATGTTTGCTGAACTTTGCACCAGTCAAGGGAAAGGATTTCCGCTGCTTGGCTGGAGCAGTTGCTTCCTGCCTCCTCACATTACGTCTTGCTTGTGCACTCTGTCCCTGGGGTCTGCTCATTAACCGTGAGCTGCAGCTGGGTAAGGAAGAGGTGGCTGGGACGGGAAGCGCGGGCGGCACCAGCGTGTGTGTGTGTGTGTGTGTGTGTGTGTGAGTCTGTGTCTGTGTGCCTGCCTGCGCATGACCACTCCTGGGTTTCTGCTCCATGTTGCTCTGCAAGATGCTGAAAGCCATGGCAGCTGCTCAATGGGGTCTTGAGATGTCCATGGCTTCAGTTCATGATGCAGCAGGAGCATTTGCAGCACCCAAAATTAACTGCACCTTGTAGAGGGGAGGTAGTGGGCCGGTGGAGCTGGTGCCTTTGCCCTTCTGTCCCTGAATCTGTGATTTGGGTGCTGTGGGGTCCCACTGGTTCAGGATCAGGGGGTGGCTGACAGGCAAACTGGAGGTGGGGCTGGAATAACCCTGTCCAGGAAGGGCAGTTACTGATTTTCCCCTTTTCCTCTACATGCAGTGGGGATGGTTCTTACCGCAACGATGACCTGACTCAGAGACCTCCAGCTGCTAAATATCGCCCTGACCAGTTCAGGGGCTACAACACAGGTAGTGCCACACAGACGGGGAGGGTTCACACAGCCCCTTGGGGGGTTGGTGAAGGGCTGTATGGAGAGAGGGACATTCTCAGGGGATGAAATTCAGCCTGTCACTGTGGCAAGGCTCTCACTGAGTTCACCGAGGCCAGGCTTCCCCTCCTAGCATGTAAAATGCATCCCCTGGCTAACAGCTGTGCCAAGTCTGAAGCACCCTTAGTGTGTTCATGGGCACTTTTTGGTGCAATGGCTCTGTCCCAAGGCTTTCTTCTTTGTCAGGAGCCTCTCCCCCTGTTCTCCTGCTGTTGGGAGGCTGTTAAACATGGGGTCCTATGGCTGGGGCCTTAGCTTCCAGCATCAGCATCACTAAGCTCTTGTCTTGAGCCAGAACTGCCCCCGTGGTCCCCTTGGCTGAGGGCAACAGCTCATGGTTTCTCTCCCTATTTAGACCTCCGTGGGCTGTGGATTTACAAGCTGGAGAGCCGTGTGGGTGTTAACTACCGGCTGAAGTGCCTGGCATGGACTGGGCGGCAGCAGGAGCCACAGATGTGGAGCCAGGGATTGCCCTCCTGCCCCTGCTCCCTGCAGCAAGGGCAGCAGGACCCACGCTTCAAGAGCAGCCGCAGAGGCAAGTGGAATGCTGCTTCCCCACCCTCCTTGTCTCTGAGCTGTCCCTCCCATCTTCCCTGCCAGGGTGGCTGGGCAGGCAGGACACCCCAAGGAAAGTGAGGATGGGGACTTCCCTTCCCTGAAGAGATAGGGGATATGGGGAGGAATGAGGGGTGAGCTGTCTCTGTCTCATTAGACTGGACAGATCTGGTCTAAGCTGCATGGGGACTATAGGGATAGATTCTCCCCAACACCAGGGTCTTACCTTAGGAGTCCACTTGGATGGTCTCCATCAGTCTCTCCAAACTGCCTCGAGCACCATGATGTGGTGGGAGTGACAGACAACAAGGAGCCAGCCCTGGCCCTGCTGCTTGCCCTGCGGCAGGGATGCTGGCTGGGAAGAGCTGTGCCAGGGCTCACTGCCACCCTGTTGCAGGCTGGTGGGCTGCCCGCATCTCCATGCTGCCCACTGCCACTCCCAACCAGCACGGCGCCGGTGTCCGCTGCCTGTACGACAGCCAGAGCCAGCTCATCGAGGGGCGGCAGGAGAGGTACTGGAGGTCCTCCAGGCAGGCGTCCCCGTACCGCGGTAAGCACAGCCAGCTTTGACATCGCTGTAGCCTGTAAATCATTTTCATCTCTGTGCCAACCAATTTCCTGCCATTCTGTTGCCCTCGAAGGGAGCCTGGAGCTGCCAAAAGCTGAGGCGAGTGCTCTGCCTGGAGCCAGCCCATTTCCCTCTCCTCTCCTCTTACTCTGATTTTTGCCTCCAGACCAGGAGCTGAAGTTGTACGACTGGTGCTGTAACCAGGCTGGCAGTGCCCACCTCTGCGCCCGCTACAGCGAGAAGAGACCGAAGATTGGCTGTGATGGATACCAGTCACCAGGCACGGGTGGGTTTGCAGCCCGTGTGTGCCAAGGCAGTGCTGTTTTGGTGCCCAGGGCTGGGGAGGAATGTCCCAGCCTCCTCATGATTGAGGCAGCAGGAGTCCTGGGCAGACAAGGGAAGGGTCCGGGGGTGCTCATGTCTGGGTTGTGCTGTACCCTGGGCTATGCAGGCTTGTGGGAGCATCTCCCTTAGCACAAAACCACTGGCATAATCAGAGGGTGACAGCACTGGGCTGGGAGGAGGATGGAAGCTATTGCAGTTATTGGTGTGAGCTGACATGGCACTTTCTTGTGATCCCCAGCAGGTTCCTCGGAGGAGGCAGAGAGTGACTCTGAGGAGCAGAGAGGTGAGCAGGCGTGGGACCCTCCTCTCCACTGGCCACTTTCTGTCATGTGGCAACTCCTTTAGGGCTCATAGCTCATCCCAGCCTGCTGCGGAGGAGGTGGCCATGCAGTCCTTTCTTCTTCTTCTTTGCAGATGAAGAGGATGAGTAACCAGGGGGTTTCACATTTGCAACATGATCCAGGCCGTGGTTGATCCTCCGAGTCTTTTGTTCCTGCTCATCTCCTGTGTTCCCCCACTCCCCTAGTACCCATCACCCCTTCCCTCCACACTGAGCAGCTCACTCACCTGGTGCCCGCAGTCGCCTTCACCAACACCTGTTCATATTTCTAACCCAGACTTGTCCCAAGGAGTCAGTTGCTTTAGTCACCCTTCCCCAGCTGCAGCTGAGTGAGTGCCCATGGGCACCTTCTGGCCGGTGGGGAGATGGGCAGGCACCCCCAACCCCCTGTCCTCCCTGCATCCTGCTGTGCCTCCCACACTGTGGGGTGAGGTTGGCCCCCTGGCACTCAGGGACTGGGTTTTTGCACCTTGTGTGGGTTGCCTGTGGCCAAGTCCCTGAGTGTCACAGAGTGCCAGGCTCACCTGTGAGCTGGCCCTACCTTGTCCCCACTTCTGTCCCCAGCTGTCCCACCCTGGGTGCTTCCCAGGCCCTGGAGACAGAAATGTTCTGGGGATCCAGCCAGAGTGTGCCTGACACCTCTGCTGGGTGTGCGAGGGCACAATTCAACCCCATGATCAGAAATGTTGGGAGAAAAATAATTTTTTTACGTGCAAGGGAACAGCTGCCTTTCTTAAAAAAAAAAAAAGACAAAAAATCCTTGTAAAATCTTGTTTGTTCAATAAAGCCTCCCAAGGGTCTGAGTATCACTGCTCCTGTGGCAGCCATGTCCTCTGCTGAACAGGGCTGGGGGGCAGTGGTGGGGCAGGCTGGGGACAGTGGCATTGCAGGGTGCTGCCACCCTCCCAGCTGGGGCCCTGGGGCAGTGCGGCTGGAGCTGGGGGCTGATGCACCCTTGGGTGCAGCATCTTCCCCCAGCAGGGGCAAAGTCCTGCAGGGTGTGTGTTGATCACCCTGTGTGATCACTGTGAGCAGTGCCTGGGGAGAGCAGCCAGGGAGACTTGCAGCTTTGCAGGGGGAATGAGGGGGTAGAGAAACACAAAAAGGTACTTCCACCTTTTCTCTTTGGCCCCGTGGAGGGGACCAGCAGAAAGCAGAGACTTGAGAACTCGGTGCCAGGGAAGCAGGGCTGGTACTTGGGCACCATGGGGTGCAGACAACGTGCTCAGCAGCAACTTACTCATAATTTTTAGTTTATTCTAGGTTGTTTCTAACAGGTTATATTCATTTCATTGCCCCACATGACTCTGCTGTCAGTGGTTCTGCTGGGTCTGATTCCCTTGCACCAGAGCATATCCTGGTCCAGACACATTCAAGGACTATCCCAGTTGCCTCTGCAGGTCCTCAGGGGAAAGTGAAATCCTCTTGCTTTGGTCACCCAACATAAAGGCACATTTTTCACTCACGAAACACACCTCCTCCAGAGTGAATCCTCCCACAAACACCAGACCTCAGAAGGCAGCTGACTCCAAGCAGGCACCACTGATGGAGACCCCAAAAGGGGGCAAAATGTCTGGCAGCAGCATCTGGCTCCTCTGTGAGCCTGGAGGAGCCAGGGCAGGACCGTGGCAGGCTAGGGCTGCTGGTGGGGCTGGCTTGGAGGCCTAACCTGGGGTCTCTGGATCTTTATCTGTAAAACAGGGACAGGCCATGCCATGCTGTTGGGTTCTGCTCTTTGCTACCAGCTCAGGCAGAGGCACAGACCCTAGCACCAGTCAAAGCATCCCTGATGCTCTGGGATGAGCACAGCTCCCAAGCGCCAGACCAAGATATAAACCCCCCACTCCTACCCCTCATTGGGTCAAAAATCCTGCAACAGACCTGGACTGAGGGGTCAACTGTCTGGAGCTGTGGTTCCCAACGCCTTGCTGGGGAGGGAGAGTGAAGGGTCCTTGCCTGCTCTCCTGCTGTCATCAGGGCTGGAGAGGCGAAGATAAGCAGGCCCTGAAGAAGACCAGAGTGAAGCAGAGCCAGGGTGAGGGGTTTCACAGGCATATACTCACAGGAGAAGGGCCGTGGCTTCCAGTAGTTCTCCTTGGCCCTAGGAGTGGAAAAGCAGAAAGGGGGTGACATATTAAGGGGGCTGGGAGAGCCCTGATGTGGTTTGGATGGCAGAGTGGGCAGTGACCCAGTGTGGAGCCAAGATGAGGCTACAAGAGGAGGAAAAGCCCCAGCTGTTGTGCACACCTAATTTCTCGCCTTGCCATAAGTGCAAATGAACAGAGATGCTTCCCAAAAAGCCCCAGCTCCTGGGCTAGCAAGGAGCCAGCAGTGGGGGCAGGACACAGCTCACACCAGAGCCAGGGTCTCGGGGTGCTGAGCTTCCCCCGCCCGTGGATGCCACACTGGGACCAAGGGCTGGGTTGGGAGGAAGGAGGTGCTGGTGCTTCTACCCCAGCCTTGCACCTTGTCAGCCATCTGCTAACCCCCTGCTCTGCAGGAGAGCAAGGGCCAGTTCTGCAGCTGCCTTCTTCTTGCTCCACACCAGCTCTTTCCAGAGCAACACGAATTGCAGTGGAAATAATTTGGATAGCATTCAAATTAAAATTAAATAAAGAGCTTGTCTGTAACCAAGGGATGAGGAAGAAATGCAAATATTCCCTGATATGAGGGAAAAGGGAAGTTAATGTTCAACCCACTGACACTATTGCACCCCTGAACAGCAGATGACTGGGAAAGGGGCTGGAAGATGGTAAAAAGATCACTCAGACCAATCCCTTGCCCTCCCCACCCGGGCCAGGTGGGTCCCACCAGCCATGGAGCTTCTGGAGATGGATTTTTCACCTTTTTTTTGGGCTGGCAAAGCTCTCCCTGACCCCCAACCTCCTGCCACACCTGCAGCACCCACCCCTGCGTGGCCCCGTCCCACTGCTCACCCACGGCGCCGGTGCCCACGGCAGAGGCGCGAGGCCAGGCAGGCAGCGGTGAGCAGGATGCAGAGCAGAGCCAGGGCTCCCAGCAAGATGCCGAGGAAGGCAGCAAGGCTGATGGCCAACTGCTCACAGCGAGAGCCGGATGGGGAGAAGATGGAGAAGGGCAGGCAGCTGTGGATGGAGAGGGAGGGAGGGAGGGAGGGAAGAGCAGGGATGCTGTGGGAAGACGTGACCATGCTCAGTGGCCTTGTCTGTGCCCGGCACTGCTGCTACCTGCATGTGGGCCCCTCGGGCAGGTGCTGGCACTGGCCACCATGCTGGCAGTAGCCCATCTTGCCAGGTGAGATGCAGACAAAGCCCATGGTCTCCGTGTAGTGGAGCCGGTAG